ATACCATACAAGAAATAAAATGCCACATTTAAACATTTCAAGTCTCTGTCAACTACATTTAGCAACATGAGAGAACAGCTAAATTCCACCCAACAGGGCAAATACCAATTTTATTTTAAAAAATAAATAAATTGAAATAGCTTATTGTAGTGCTCTTAAATTTGTTGTGTTGATAGTAATGAACACATGCATTAAGCTTGCTTAAATGTTTATGGCTTCAGGTATTTTTCTGGATGTATTTTCTATATGTACCAGTGTATGTATGAGTGGATATTTTCATTATCTCATAGTGTTGTACATTGCTGAATGTTAGGAAACTATTTCTCTTGATATATTTTTTGTGATCTCTAGAAAGACCCAACAGAATTGAGGCTTTTTTTAAAAAAAAACCCTACAAAAACACAAAACCTCAGCATCCAAAATTATAGCTGGGAAATCTTGTTCTGAGGGTTAACAGGCAGAGCATAATCTTCAAGTAATAATGAATTTCAGAAGTTCTTCCATTAAAAGATATTGTTATTATAGGTATTAGAAATAAGCAAAGACAGAAATAAATACATAAGGAATCCTTCAAAATAGTCAAGCAGACTTGGAGTAGGTGATACCTTTTGCTGCTTGTCTTCAGCTGGAGGAATGTAAAACAAAATTCACAATACAATAGGTCATCAGTCAAGATATCAAGGGAAAACTCCTGTCAGATCCAAGAGCTGGCAATTTCAGTGCACTCGCTGGTCCAGCCAATGTACTGTTTGCAACTTCCTGCTCACATAGGACCTGAGAAACGTGGTTGAATTATGGCTACAAAGTACCAGCAGAACGCTGATGAAACTTGGTCTCTGGGTGTTTTGAGGTGGGAAGATCAGTACAGTTATAGGTTGGGACATCGCAATGTTGTCAGTCTGTTTTCATTAATTTACAAGGAAATTATTAATTATTTGTATAAAGACTGAGTTCAGACTGCATCTATTTTCTAAGAGTTTAATTTTTACAGGGGAAGTATTTCAGCCTCTGACTCTGCAAGACAAGCAGGCCTGTGCTTAGTCCTTTAGAGAAACAAACACAGTGTTTATTAGGATCTAGCTGTAGCTTAATTGCCTGCAGTTTATTGTCAAGGTTTAAGTGCTAGACTTCAGTGGAGTTATAATCCTCTAACAGTAAGGCATCTCAAAGTCATGTTGTTCTAAAACCTATTAGGGAATTTAATTGAAATAAATTCTACTTGGAACCCTCCTGCATCACTTCTTTATAAACATATGTATCTTTTTCTTTTTAAAAACATGCCTCTCCTTTTAATGCTTTTAATGCCTAAATTCCAGCATTTTCACACTTCTCATCTTACTTAGATGATCTATTCCTCAGGGTACAGACCCATATTTTCATTTTATTTTATTTTTTCAGCATTAAGAGACAAGCATATATAGAATCTAGCACCTGTCCCTTGACGAGGACTTCAAAGCATTCCCTTTTTGAAAGCAAACAATACTTCACAGTTTGCCAGGATAGTACATCTGCTTCTTCAGATGACTTAGCAGAAAGATACGGAGTGTGTGACATTGTCCTTGGGACAACTGGAGTTATTACAGATAATGTGATGGCCCTGACCAAAATAACATAAGCTGCATATTTATAACCCGCTCACACTTGTTATTTCATTTACAGATTTGTTTGGTATGAAGAAGCAACTCTTTGAACATGTAGTGGGAGCAATGAGATATATATAACTATCATCAAAGGTTTTCTTGCTGCAGCCAAGCACTAAGTGTCAATCTGCTTTGAGATACCCTTTAGAAGAAGCCTAGCTGAGTTTTAAAAAGAATGAAATGAACAAATAAACAAAAAATGCCATACAAACTGTAAAAAAAACTATTCAAGTGGTAAAAGTGTGTGTAAGTAGAGCACTAAGGTTGAATTGGTCTCTCCTGTCCTCTAGAAGTCTTGTGTGTGGGGACAGATAATTTGATTGAGCCATTCTGTATGCAATGGAATCACCCAGAGGAAAAAAACCCACACCTTATAATTAATGCTGATTATTTTATCTAAGCCATTCTTTTGTTCATTGTTCATGCAGAGGGTATATGATGACCTGGGATTACTTTCTGCCTAAGCAAAGAACAAAAGTGGAGCTATTGCTAGGCATGAATGTAATAGGACAGGTGGAGTACAGAACATCCGTTCTCCACACACACTGGATTCTCATGTCATAAGGACAACCTACTTTTAAATGGTGTAAAGAAAGTAACATATTGCTACAGAAGGAAGCCGATGAAATGGTATTGTTCAGATGTTGTCTTAAGCAGACGTGCACGTGACCTTCAGATTATGATGTTTTCAGGTAAGCAGTTGGAAGCTCTGGTGCAATAACCATTGCATTAGCTTTGGGAGGAGAAATTCCTTGTGCAACCAGAGATACAGCTGCTAGTCCTACTACTGTTACAGATGAACAGTCTGTTCTAAATTCTCTTTACAGTTTAAAGAAAAGCTTCTGTTAACCATATTGGGCTTTACAATAGTGTCATGACACAGCAAAGAAACATTCACTGAACAGGATGGACTAATAAATATTCCTCTCTCCCTCAGTCACTGGCATGTGCTTCCACTGAGCTCTGCAGTCCTTTTAGATTGCTTCCAGCAGGATTTTAGCAGATTGCCTTGTGTGTGGATGAGAGGTCAGTTTGTTCTGTCTTCTTGAAAAGATGGTGTGTACACAAGGTGGCTGAAACTATAGCTGGGAGCTGACAAAGCCTCTGTACTGGCCCCTGTTTTATGATACTGTGTTTTGCCTGTTGGCATCTATTATTCTCAATGACTGAGAATTCTCTAAAAACTTGGCTAAGTTAAAACATTAGAGTGTTACAGAATAAAGCAAGTAGCAAATTCCCATCTTATCTATTTGGTTTGAGAACATGACCTAGATTGCAGTACCCATGGCTACATGGAGAGGAGCTTTACTTTATTTCTCGTTATTGTATAATCAGGCTCAAAGTCATTACAGTACATTGATTCTCATAACAGCACATTGATTCTCATAACAGCAGTAACTGTCAACACCATGTTGATTTATTGAAAACTCTAATAAAGACACAGGTCTTGGAATTCTAGCCTTTGGCTTTTCATTCCTTCCTTATTTCTAATGCTTTTGAATAGGGAAGGATCTCCATTCATATCCCGTTTGCTTGTCACTCCCATTAACCCCTAGAGTTGCTATTCCCAAGTCTTGATGAAAAGAAAGATGAACTCAGTGAACAACTCTCACTTCTTTTGGTAGAAAGGTTTGTACAAAGGGCTCTTATCACAAGCTATAAAGTGCAAAAGTATGTACTTTCTCTGCCCATCCGTGCAGTTACAGGCACACTCAAGTGCTCCAGTGTGTCAGTTTGTATACAAGGTGTGATATATACTGCAGGTTCCAGATTTCCAAAAGTCTTGGGGGGTGTTTGAAACTGTGGCTCCTTTACTTTCTGGGCCAGTTCCATAGACAGGAGGTTTCAAAGATCTGCAAATCGAGTTGCCTCACTATCTGGTATACATTGCCAGGGCACTCCAGGCTCAGAGGAAAAAAATGTAGCATGTATTCTGGTGGCAGCTTGCCTAGAGGAAACCATTCAGCCTTGGGTGTGCTGATTGATGTCCTATTCTGCTGGCAGCTTTTATTACATTGTCAGTGAGAGCAGCATGAGAAAGAGGGAAGGTAACAGAACTGCAGGCAAATATGACCAGTACAGGATGGTTTGTAGGGATCAAAATTTAGTACAGTCATTATTACAAGGTCAAGTAAGTCAGGGTGACAATTGGATCCATAGTAGACTTGGCTAAAACTCCCTCTCAAATCAATGTTAACAGCTGGGCTGGATCCAGATAACCAGTCAGGTTTGCACAACTAACCCTAGGAGCCTGGGATTTATAGTAAAACATCATATGCCATAGCTATTCAGCCACAAGAAAAATGGGATTCACAGAAGCAGAGGAAATCTTATCGTCCCACATTCCCTCTTTAAAGTGACAAAATGGTTATATGGTAGAGCTATGTGATGGAAACAGCCTCTACACTGTGTGCATGCAGCAATGCAGAGGCACAAACTGGGAGTCTGCTCTGTGATCATTAGCAAAGAGTAAAAGTGGTTTAAGTAAACCAGTAGCAGTTCTTGTGTTGTTAATACACGATTCTTGTATTTCCCCTTTACATTAATATTCTTAATAACAAGATAAAAGCTATCTTGCCAACAGCAATACAGACAATTCCCTTCATTATTTGTTCCATTCTAGCCCTGTTAATATGCTCTCCTGGTTTCTCCTGTTGTGAATGAAGTGGGAGTTGGGCATATGCAGTGAACTGTATGCTTTTAGTGTCCAATAGCAAACTATATTCTCATGAGTTTTCAAATTTGGATTTTTTTGCTTTCACTATGAAGAACCCAGCTGTAGGCGTTCTTCAATAATGCATGGAGGAATAATATCTGTTAGGCTGCATGTCCTTATGACAGTCAGAGAGAAAAGGTGAAAGCAGGTCATAGACAAACAAACATCCATTAAAGCTAAGCAGTTGTTTTGACCAGCAGGAAAAGACAACTGTAGTTTTCTAACTACATGGAAAAAAGTAGTGTAGAGGACACCAAGGTGTGGAAGGAACTTCAGTATCCCTGTTACCCTGTTTTGGGGTCAGGATTTGTGTTCAGATGGAATAGCTGGGAAGTGCTTCTACATCTCCAGATTTAGATGCAGCGTTTACTTTTTTAAATCCTCAGAATCATGGTCTCAGATCATACCTGACCTTCTGGAAGACTGAAGGTGAAATAACTTAATTTCCAGGAGCCACTCAAGGGGGTTATGTAATGGCTTTTGGATAGTGACAGATTTTGTTCCATTTTTTCCTGACTTTTGTACCAATTCTTAAACCTAGCATTAACCCTGAAACTTTTCTTCAGCCATTCATTCTCTGACTGGAGCAACAGAAAGGTTCATCAATATTCCACTGATTTGTTTCCCTTTCCTCTTCTTTACAGGTCTCCATGAAATCCAGTGTTCCCTGCCTGTAGAAAATAGAAGAATCTTTCTGAATGAATTATCTGAGGTCAGCTTTAGTGAATGCAAATTTAGTTTGTCATTGACGGACCTTTTTATCATCATCTTCTCTGGAGTCGCAGTCTCCATTGCTGCTATTCTATCAAGCTTCTTCTTAGCAACTCTAGTGCACTGCTTCCAAAGATGTGCTCCCAGTAAAGATGACGATGATGATGAAGACGACAGTGAGGACTGAACTTAGCCTATATATTTAAGTTTCCTTGGTTTTCAAGTTACTAGATGATCAGCCAAAGTCTAGGAAGAAAACAAGTAGAGTTAAAAGCTTTAAACATTAATTAAATGAAATCACAATGTGTAAGGATCCGTTCTTATCTCATGATGGTCACAGGTAGGAGTTGGAGTTTGCATCTGAGACTCTTAGCTTTGCTTATATATATGTAACCTGATGCAATGAGACTGGGTTAATTTCTATGATCCTTAATCAACCACTGCATTTAAATTTGAAGATTGAAGGAAAAAGGGGCAAAGGCAAAAAAAAGTTCCAGTGTTTTAAAAGACTAACTCACAGCTTCCAGTCTGTCCTTACAGATACCTGTAAGTGCTTACTAGCTTGTTCTCAATCCATTTAGAAAAGGACTGGAGGCATTTCAGCTGGAAAATAAAGAAGCAATTTAAAATAGCATCCTTCCTTGATCTAAGTAGTGGGAGAATCTATTATGCTCACACAACTTTCTAAATAACAAAAAGCAATTAAAATGATTCCTAGAATTGCAGAAAGCATTATAGGCATTTTCAGCTAAAAAAATTTTTTTCTATAAGCAAATGCAATTCTAGGTCTGAGTCATCCACTGCAGCTGCCTGGCACCTCTTTGGTCATGGCACAAATACTAAATATAACTAAATATAACATTATTTTGCATTTTTAGACGCAATGAAGTAAAGGGTTTCCCTTCCCTGTAGTGCTAGGCACAAGTAACTGTTGCACTATCCAGTCCATTTAGTTATTTTAAAACACTAAGGGCTATATTCTGCTCCTGATTATTATTCTAGAGTAACAGAAATGAAGTGAACACCATGATCCAAACAGGCAACTGTATAAACAAGAGCGGAATCTGGCCCGAGATGTTTCTGGCTGTATTATAGCATTGTCAAAACTTGAGCTCTTCTATATAATGGTAGATATTTTTGTTAAAATTAAAGAAGACATTTATTACAAGAGAATTTTGGAATAGTGTTGGACAGCTTTTTAGGATAAGTATATTTTTTAAATATTTGTAATGGAAATATTTTTTTAAAGCTCTGTATTTAAAGTATTATTTAGAGTAGCTGTGAGGGTTTAAAGTAATGAATAACATAGTAATAAACAATCTGAAGACTGTATGCTATTATAAAATAATTAGATCTGATAAAAAGTAGCATCTATTTAACTACTGTAAATGCTATTATTTCTTAAAAAACACTCTTTGGTTAAAATATTGCCTTGCTCAGTTAATATGAATGGTCTTTTATGGACAGTTAGTTCCAAATCTCTTGTATGTGTTGTGCTAATTGTTCAGGCAGACAGGAGTGAATTACATTGGGTGTGTTAAGGGGTAATATGGTTGGGTAGATAGGGTACAAGGTTAGGACTGAGGACTCCTGGGTGTTGTCCCCATCTAACAGTGATCAGCTGGAGACCTTCAGCAAATCACTGTCTGTCTGTGCCTCAGTTTCACTACCTATAAAACCAAGATCGTAATAACTAACTATCTTTTTCAAGTGCTTTGAGATATGCAATGGGGGGGGCACTATATTGGGACTATGTATAACGATCATATATGTTTGGCTGAAGCAGATGTCATGCAGGAGGTCTAATCTGATCTCGTATCAGTATGACTTCACTGACATCAGTGGAGTTATTCCATCAGCTAACAGAGTTATTCCATCAGCTAACAGAGTTTGCAATGAAGTTTGCATCGTGCAGAGGTCAAAACCAGGACAGGAGTGTTTATTTCTGTTAGCTCTACAGCTTATTCCATGCGACTTAATGCTGCCATTGTTAAGATTATTATTTCTGAAAACACATTGAAACAGAATTAAGTAGGACAGTGAGAGGATATTCTGTATCAATACTGTCTTATGCTGTTCTACTTCTTTTAAGAAAAATGAAGTGACATGACTTTTCACTGTGTAGTGCCATGATTATAAATAACACAAATATATTTATAATTTCAACATGGGCTTTCATGTTTATTTGTATGTGGGTATGAAAAAAGGAGGAAAAACTGTGTCTGATTCTGTCCTCGTTTATAAGCGGGGTTCTGCAGTATGGTTTGGAAATGTACAACTTGTTGTCCAGTGCAGTTCATGAAATACTTTCCCTTTGCAACAAATACGGGTATGTTACCAACAGTTTTATATTTAGAGCTGTGCAAATTGTTCAGTCGTGGAACAAGAAACTGGGTCACACTTTTTGGTCTGCACGTTTCATTATGGACTCAAAACTTACAACCAGTTGGCAAAATGGTTTGTCTTACTAAACTTTTCAGTGAGACATCAGTGAATGTTTCAGCAAATGTCTGCCCTTCCTTTAGTAACGTGTTTATGGTTTTATTTCATTATCCTGTAAGGCTGAGTAATTTTGCAGAGGTCACATCTCAAACTCAAGTATTTTGACTGGGTTCTGCTCTTACTTGCAGGTTCATCCTACCGTGGTGCCTCAAAATGAAGATCTAGATTTATTTATAGTTTGTAGCTTTTTGTTCAACCCAACATAAAGCACTGATTATATTTGGAACTTAGCACCCCTCAGAACAGCAAGGAACAGACCAAGCTGACACCCACATAATCCAGTGCAAGCTGAAGAGCATGGCTTAGTAAAGCTTTATTTATGAAGCTGCCATTCTGGATACTCCATCACATCACAGTGATTTTGCAAAGTAGGTTTTTTTCCAGATAAGGAACTTTAATGATCTTTTCCCCTACTAAGTAATGTGTATTTCATAAGTATTGATCTCATCCAGTTAGTAATATATATTCAGCATAAGCATCAGCAGTTACCTACTATTAATATTGATTTTGCATCATTCTAATTGCTAGTAAATGAGACAGAACTTGGATTTAGTTTTTACTGGGATTTTTCTGATTTTATGTAATCTTCAGAGCAAAACATTCCTGTATTGGAATATTGCCAGAACTAGTGATCACCATAATGATCCCCTGCAAAACTTGCAAAGCAAATTTCACCATGAACAGAAAGTGACCCAAAGGCTGCATTATTATTGCAGTTTTACGTCTACAAAGGTAGTAACATGGAGGTAATCCCATCTCCAGCTTTGCAGACATGGGAAGTCTTCCTATGTGAGGATGTTTCTGTGGGTGGGATCTAGTGAGTATGCACTCCCTTCTCAAACTGTGGTAAACCCCATTAAGATAAGTGAAGGTACAATGGTGCCAAGTATAAGAGCTGAATTTAGCTCCCTGAGCAATGCATCACTAGCTCAAGAAGCACTGCCTGGAGGTGATTATAACTGTGCAGTAGCAAGTGTGTCCTCATTTACAATTTTCCTTCTAAAATGGCTTTACTTTAGTGGTGGTATCTCTCGCTGTCAGAAACGAGCAGACATTTTACCTGCTTCAAGGGGAAGGACAAAAACTATGTATGACCCAAATAAAATGTTGCAGGCTCAAAGAGCCAGGAAGCAGCTGTCACATTGCCTGCAGATATGTCGTCTTGATGAAATGCTGGATCTTGGTATGTGTGAGGATCCAGAAAATGTGCAAGAAAGCAAATCTGCATGATGTAATGGAGACAGTGGCTTTTTAGAAGCTTGTGTATTGGTTTTAAAAAACTCTAATCCACAGAATATGAAAATAAAAAACACCTGAAGAGACTGTCCAAACCTAGCATTTCATCTTCAGTCACTCAGCATCTTTCTGAGGCAGCTTCAGTCCTGCTGTGATTCTTACACAGATTTGAATATTAATGGCTTGTTATTTAGAGCAGCATAAAAATGCGTTGGGAAAGTACCTTGGAGGGGTGGTTCTGGAAGCTCATAGAGGAGCATACTGCTCACCTACCTCAGATATGTAGTAGAGAGTGTGAACCATTGTACACTGACAGCTAAAATTTAGCCTGGCATACTTAGAGGTGACCAAAAAATGGTCTTTTGGCTGTGGGAAGAGCTGTGTGCAGTCACTTGTGTATGTGGCTGGAGTGTGCACACTTGTGTGGTAGGGAGAAGGTGTGTATATAACAATACTAGAGCTTGCTGTAACTATCACCCCTGTAGACAGCCTCAGTGGAACAGCTGAAGCCTGATGGGGATGCTGAGCCTGAGACAGTTCTTCATCCCTAGCCGAGGTTCCTCTGTGCTGGCTTTCAAACCCACGGGAGCAGCTCTGTGCAGGACCGTTTACTGATTCAGCATGTGCTGCCTACCTGCTACGTGAGTAAATTACTTCAGTTTCTAGGGTTGTTAGCTGGCACATTTCTAAGTTCAGCCCATGCCCCCCAAAATAAAGGAGCAGGGGTTGTGATAGCTTCCGAATGTGACCAATCCTCTTGTAGAACAATGTTGTCATTTGTGGTACGACCTGTTTTACCGGCCTCTAGTGGCAACCGAGATGCTTGACTGTGGAGGTAAGTCATCGTGATTCATTGTGGTGAAGGTGATGTTGAAATGCATACTCTCTCCAAAAAGAAACCAGAAATATATATTAGGAAATTAAATTTCTTGGAGAGTAAGATCTCCCATGGACTCTGAGTGCCAAGCAGCCTGTAATATGTGTAAGTCACCAGAACATTTATTTTATGTCTTATCTGTTAACATTGGAGCAACACAACCTTGTCATAGAATTGTAGAAAATACCTATGGAAGAACCTCAAATACTTCATCTAATGACAGCTGATGCTTTGTAATAAAAATACTTGGTTTTCTAATCAGATTCCCACTCTCATCTTGCCATCATCTTCCCCGTTCTGTCTTGGTTTCTGTATCGTCGTATCTTGACTGTATCAAGAACAACAGAATCCCAGTTTGGCCCTGTCTCTGCCTGGTACAGAAATACAAATCACCAACAGCAATAACCAACCAACAGACTAAGAAAAACAGAGTTTTGTTTATACAATCTGTGATTGTAAAGAGCAGGAAAAATAGATTGGATTTTAAGCTGACAGAGCAACAGGAGACCTTCTGTTGCAAAGCAGAATGCCTGAATTACCATGTGTCTCTCCAGTTCACATCCACTCTCACA